AATTTTCAAAGTGTGATAATAATAGGTATACAATCAGGGAGTACACTACTCCAGTTGCAAACTCGGAGCTGGTAAGGCACTTGGAGCTGGTTATACATTGGCAACAAGAAGTTACAAATTTTCAGAGTGTGAAAGTATAGGTACATAAGTCGAGGAGTACATGACTGCAGCGACAAGCTCATGGGTTACCTGCATGTTTAGTAATTAATATTCTTGTCATTGTTCTTCTTATTCTTCTTCTTATTATTATTATTCTTATTCTTATAGGATATTTATATGATGTTAAAACCTGGTTATCGCTGACAAAAGAATAATTAATTTCATTAGCGTGAAAGGATGGGTATAGAAAGACAAAGTGCAAACCTCCAGCAGTAAACTCATGGGTCGTAGGCAAGTTGGAGCTGATTATTTATTGGCCCAGAGACTTGCAGATTTTCAAAGTTCGAAATAAAGCTATGAGGCCATTTTTTGTGAAATTTGTTAAGCCTGTTGTTTTTCTTAGCTATGTATTTTTCGACATATACAATATTCTGTATTATTTTCAGAAATCCTGACATTTGCAGCCGTCTGTTGTTTATACTTGAGATACATATGAATCGTTTCCCAGCGAGAATAATGTTGTTAATAAATCATAGCCAGTGTTAAGTCCCAACAGGATTTTGAAATCTGAGAGTACAATGTCAATGCTAAAAGTGTTTTTAATGAAAATCCTTAGTTCACTCCAGAACATCTGTACATGTCCACACGATACAAAACATCGATAATATCCTCTGGTTCTGATTTGCAAAATGTACAAACATTTTGTAAATCAATTTCATCTTTAACAATTCTTTTTTAGTATATATAATATTGTGGATGAATCTGAATTGAAAATCCAATAATTTAACATCCCGAATACACTTTCTATAGTTTGTAAAAACAATACTCCAAGGCAATGTAATCTGAGTCATACTTTCCCACTTGTTACACACCTCGGGTAGCTCACATGTTTAAATCAATTTGTCATAGAACCTTCTACAACCTTTTGAAGGTATAATAAGTTCATACACTATGTCATTAATACCCAGATTTTGAGTCTCATTAATAAAATAATTGACAGTTGTCATATAAGTACTTGCAATGAATTTATACATATCTTGGCTACACAGTATCTGACCTTTGGAAATAATTGTATATTATTCGGACATTGTCTCACCAGAATCAGTCGTTAAGACAATTGAACAAAGTGGAATGTAAATGTGACTGTTTCAACTGTCTTATACAACATTTTCCGAGAGACCATTATGTGGTGCTTTGTTGTGATTACTATCTCTCTCTACAGTGTGTAGGTAAGTATGTGGATTGTGTATTAAAACGGTGCATGCTATTAAGTCTTACTGCACATGTATCACTGAACAATTAATCACTTTCCGTGGCAACCCATCCGTGAAGATCAGTAGATAAGAAATAATGTGTTTCCCACCACCTACCACCATTAATCAAATACACTAATTAAATATAAATAATAACTCTTTAAGATGCAAATAGATATAGATAAGTAATACATACTTAATGAATGGTAATCATATAGGTTAATAAAGCAGTGTTAATATCTATGCATAAATGTCCATTTGCATAATGTTTTGAGATAGCATGATTATTGTATCTGAAAAATGCTTAATGTTTGTCAGTGCGAAGGCGTGACCTCTTTGCATTGTTGTCAGCGGGTTCCCACTTCGTGAGGATTGACAATAGCAACAAAAACGAAACGTGCTAAGCCTGAAGTCACATCTAGGTGTGACATGTGTTGGGGCATCTGGTCATTACACTTTGTTAGCGGCAATAATGTACAACAACCTTCAAAAACGTTCGTGTTGAATAATACCAATGCTAGAATATTTTGATTTCAAACCAATATAAAATACATCTAGCCAAGTTATGTTTTGTTTGTCAATTCTCGCTTAGTTTATTTCCAAACATGTTTCGAAAAGAAACGTCCATAGACTTAAGAAGGTTAGACTTGGGTTTGATTTGACAGAATGACCGGCTGAATGCGTAATCTGCATTATCACTTCAGCTGAGACAGTGTTTCTCTTTTAGCATAATTGGGGGCAACATACTCCCTGCTACAGAACGACGACAGATGTGCAATAATCTTTTTGATTCAAATCTTATAGTACAAACTGAAAGAAATACTTTTTTTCATGCATGTTTCAAGTTTTATGTAGTCCCGGGGGTCTTAAGAAACTTAGTTGGTTAGTTACCAACGTTGGCTTGTAGATGTCACTGGGGTTATGCCTTTTCAAAGTAAGTGAGCCCCTGCATGTCATGTACAAAATCAATGACACCGCCCCGCCCCCTCCCATAACTTCAAGCATAATTTTGTAATGTTTTTATGCACAAAATTGCTGACCCCCCAAGTACATGTGTGCAAAATTGATGCCCCCTCCCTACCTCCCCAGAACAAAACACAGAGGAAAAGGGCAGATAATTATTTCCGCCATCACCTAACTGTTCTGTCATAAAATAAAATACTAAATGCAAAAGCACGTTGTACCTTCAAACAAAACAAACGCCAATCTTGGAGGAAATGTGTCTCCTGGATTAATTCGCGAATGTCGAAGGTATGGAACATGGTGCAGGGAATAAAAAGCAAAGGATCAAAGTCTGCTGTTTACCATCTTAAAGATGGTGATAATTTAATAACTGACAAATCTAAAATTGCAACAAAATTCAGTTTTATTCATTTCCTTTGGAAATGTTTGATCTGTATGGATATATATTACTTTTCTCATATGCACTGGCATTGGCTAGTGGTATGCTCGCAAAATGGAATATCCCTTACATTTTTTAATTGTATATAAACGATATATCTTTTCAGACAATCATTCCTGCCTTCAGTACACCCATTCATCTTTCAAGAGCAAGTACTCAAACAAACTATGGTCATAAGGAAGTGGAGTGAGTGAGTGGAGTTTGACGCCGCTTTTAACAATATTTCAGCAATATCACGGCGGGGTACACCAGAAATGGGCTTCACACATTGTAGCCATGTGGGGAATCGAACCCGGGTCTTCGGCGTGACGAGCCAACGCTTTAACCACTAGGCTACCCCACCTCCCCGATATAAGGAAGTGGAAGTGGTGATGCACACTAATTATTATCATATCAAAATTGATCGACTCCGATATATCTCCCAATATTTTCAATCGAAAATTAAAAATAAAGTTCCCTACATTTTTTTAAGAGCATAAAAACTATAGATTGTTTTAATACTCGTAGCAATTTATAATAGTAAAATTCCTAATGTAGGAAGCGGACGTACAATCACCAAAACAAGCCCATTAGCTCTCCAGAAAAAGGCACAACTGGGGGCATAAGAGCCGTTATGTAAACACTGACTGACTGACTGAGTTTGGTTTTACGCCGCTTTTAGCAATATTCCAACAACATCACGGCAGGGGACACCAGAAATTGGCTTCACACATTGTGCCCATGTAGGGATTCGAACCCGGGTCTTCGGCGTGACGAGCCAACGCTTTAACCATTAGGCTACACCTACGCCCCCGTTATGTGAACAAACAAACAAACAAACAAAACTTCACCTAAGGCAACAGTATTGTATTAGCTATGTTATTCGTACTTCCAATATGATGATGAATATTTTCCATGATCTTTTAAACAATCACATGCCATAAACAATTTAAGAAGTCAGGATAATTTTTATGAAAATACCGCCATCATTACGAGCGTTTTTGTGATTTGTTTGTCGTCTTTTCGCACATAACGACCTTCGATAGGGGAGAGTCTTCTTTGAGGGTACGACCCGTGAAGATCCGGGTTAGAATGAACCTTCAGTAACCCATACTTGTCGTAAGAGGCGACTAACGGGATCGAGTGGTCAGGCTCACTGGCTTGGTTGACACATGTAATCGGTTCCCATGCTGTTGATCACTGAAGTCACTCACTCACTTTTTGAGGTTACGGAAAGGGACGAGTGGTGACGAATGTTTCGCGATCTCACATCATCTGCTATCTTTCGGGTTTTGTAAACGTAACGCATAACCGCCTAATATGTCCATGTTCAATTAGCTGTTGTTGCTGTGCACGAATTTTTTCTGCTCTTTAATGGACCATGGCTTCTACAGATGACACTGTTACACCGTAGCAACCATAGGTTGCCAAACAGTCAGACACTATGTTACTGGTTACAAAGACAACATGAATTTTGAACGACGTTCAAGACATTTATTTTTGACAGGTATGCCATCTGTTTACCATTGATAACAAGCGCACAATAATATTTTACATGCGATGACTACAGTGACAATGAACATGAAATCAGTAACCAAAGCGAAGGAGTGTCTGTTCACAATAGCAACACATAACAGGATGTGTTGTGTGCATCTCATCAATATCAGTATACAACATTCTTCTAATTACCAGGAGAGGCAACATGTAACACTGCAAGCAGAGATGCCGGGAATATTGAACCCAAAACAATTCCAACTGAAGTACGTTAGCACTGCATATCAATACGCATTAGAGATTCCGGATAAAGCCATTGAACAGTGTACACAAATGGTCAGATTATTCTTCCCAATGGAAAATCTTATGACAAATACTGATAACAACGTTAACTGTTTTAGATATTCCGCAACCAGATTTGCAAGCGCACAAATATGCTAACAAACCGAAAGGAAGCATGTACAAGGACTATGAAGAAATGTCCCATATCATTAAAATGACAGGACATAAATGCTATAGTGATCTTACATTAGGAATGACAAGCCCGCTATGGATGATCAACTTCGTTATTATACAATAGCGACGTTTCGGTATAGATGCTTATACCGTTTTCATATCTTCTATATTGGCTGGTGGAAATCTGTGTCTAAATATGGATGCTACAAATGTTAGTGATAAATATTTGACCGGACAACACATTTTCTCTGAAAATCATTTCTCATTTTCTTCCAGGTTATGAACGTCGTTATGGAATAGTTCCAGCATGTCACAATCCATCAAGAAACAGAACTGTCCATGACATCAAAAAAGTCTATGATTTCGATTATCACCATGAACGATTTGGTAGGTGGAAAACCACATTTCTACAGGGAAATCGCCCTTCAACAGATTGTGCCCAAGTCCCAGTCAGCCGCAGCGTAGGATGAAGCGGAAGTTGCCAGGCCACTTCCTGTCTGGCATTCCCCAGTCACTCTGTTGTAGTTGAAGAACGTACAGTTCTGTCTGTAACAGATGTTGCTGCACTCCATACGACGTGGAGCCAAACTGCTTTGCATGGGTGAAGGACTATCTCGTTTCCGACCATTTTGGATTTGCACCTCAATATTCAAGCACGTACCTGTAAATAAGTTTGAAAGAATGAGCGCAGGGTGTTTGTTTAGAATCTCTATATTCTGGATATATCATGATAGCTCGTGAATAAGAGAAGTGTGAACGAGACAAACAAATAATGAGGCAACAGATTTATGCTATGTATATATAATGGACAAGATTGGGCCTCAATCTTATCACATAACATGCTGACCATTATTTTCACATTCGACATAGATCCTTGGCCTGTTTAGGAAGCTTGACCACCAACACAGCTTGGTGAATGTTATTATCACTGACAATACTACAAGTACCACCACTATTTTATGTCGTATTGTCATGGCAATTGTATGTCATTGACGTTTTATGGCTTCTCTATTGTGTTTTGTTAATGTAATTACTTTGCACCAATTTGTCTTCATTTGTGTAGTTTGTTAGTCTTACCATACAACAATTACTGGAAAATATTTCTTTGTTGCTTGTTGGTTTGCACAGATTTCTATGTTAACGTATTGTTTTAACTTGACAATTCTCAAGTAACAACATATAGCGTGGAAATCCCCTCGAAACAAGATGCAATGTTATGAACCTAACTGAAGTGAATGAATTAATAATGTTTCAACATCATAGTCGGCACCATTCCTGCTATGTCACTGCGGTCTGTAAATCATCTAGTCTTTATATGACAAGCCAGTGGCTGACACATAAGCGCGATCCTAAGTTTCGGGGATACGAGAACACGATATCATCATGACATAAAACAAAAACACGAGTTACTGAGATCTATTTGTACATCTGAATACATTTCAAAGTGTGGCCCCCAAATTGCATGCATAAGGATGGGTACTGCTCAATCCTGTTAATCCATTTTGTAAAACAAAATGTCTCCATCAAATACCACTTCCTGTTATTCTCTATCATTGAACTGATTTTGAAAATTTATCCCAAGGCAGCCAGCGTGCATAGTAAATGTCTGAATGTAGTACGATTCAAGTGTCCATGGATAAAGACCTTACCTTCTCCAAACACTTGTACCTCGCACATCATCATGATGATATCGGAGGACACTTTCACATATCTGGCCATGATCTTCTGGTCACACGCAACAGTCTTGGATGTTCCTGTGAAACTGCCCATCTGGTTGACACAGACTTTCGCGGGAGGATGGCGGGACAGGGGTAGGATGCTTGAAAAAGCCCTCTACCTTCAGAAGATCTGGTGCACCTAGAATGTCATATTAATGTTGTGGGTTGTCAGGGAGTGCATGGTTCAGTTGCAATAATGCTGAAGTTACACCAGAATTGTCTTAACATAGACTCAGTTGCCAACATTACGCGCACCTCCTTCTTGATCAGTACTGGAATACCTTTAGTTGTTACATCTAGATGCTCAAGAACATTCAGTGATCTAATGTGGTTCAGTAATAAGATTCAAATCAATTTGACTGATCACTTATATGATATAGCAGTAAAAGAAGCTGCTCATTTTGTAAACATAACTTCTTTATTTTTGTTTTATACACAGTTGCATATTTATATATAATCAAAACTGTCCACATGTATATAAAACAAAAGGTGACAAGTTGACCAGAATTGAAATAAATTGGTTAAGATGACAGTACATATTTGCTGTTATTATTTCATGAAGTAATAAAGCGAGTTCCTCTTGAATCATTTTAAAGTTTTATTGGCTTTTATATGACATACTTTTTAAAATAAATTGTTCGCATACTATTATTAAAAAAAATATTGGCCCAAAATTGAGTATAAGACATCAGAAGTATATCTTTCTTATTAAGTTTAATGGATAAATCGGATTTCTGGTTGACCCATTTTTCTAATTGGCTCATAAAATCACTCATAAAATGACTTTCACACAAATAGCGTTAAAGGCGGGTTCTTCAGATGAACAGTTGATCGTGTGTTTGTGAACAGAACACCTGAGCTCGTCATTATTCAAGAGTAAATCACCCACACCTTATGATATGGTAGGCAGATATGTCTTATGATTTTATAATGGTTTTGTTGATTGGTTTACATTTATGTTTCAATACTAAATTCTACAAATGCCAAGGGTTCTACAACTGCACTGTATGCGAATATGCAGAACGTACCTCCAGAATAATCTGTTCTCCTGAAAATAGTGATCGTAAGATATATTGTAGACAGTGAAGAAGGTCAGGTCGACCATCCACCAGGACTTGCCATGAGGTGTATGCATGCAACCGTCTCTACGGAGATTACCTCCTGTTACACCATCAACAGCAAAGAATGGGTGACCATCGTAGGCTACGCTGGACTGGCTGGCCGGTTTCCCCTGAGCTATATTTGTCTGAACGGACTCTGTAAAAAATAATAGGTAATTATACGAAATTACATGGCTACATTCCGCTTCAGTTTCTATTGGTGGAGATGCGATAAGCTAAAAGTATTCAATTGCTGCAGGCAGTGTATTCATATGTGTTTGAATATCACAACTATCACCCGAATACGACTTCCTGAATGGGTACGTGTGAAGCCAACCTTTGGTCATGTTGCTGGAAAGACCTCAAACCAGATTCACTCACTCATTCACACACTCTTTCCCTTAATCCCATATTTTTAAAGGGCCTGTGACATTTGGATTCATGAAGTGGATAGATCATCAACAATATATTTAGCTCAGTGAATATGTATCAGCTGTAATAGCTGTGTTTAGAGTTTCAAAGGTGTGTCTTCCGGCCATGATGAATGTTTCTCCAAAATATTGCCCGAAACTATTAAGAATTATTATACCTTACTTTTCGGCATTAGGAGTGACAACAGTCCCAAATTGTATGAGCACAATAACGTGGAGTGATTATGTCACTATTTTAAATGCCGTTATCTTGTGATATTGAATGTCTTTATTAGATGATGACATTCGCTGAAATAGGCCTTGAAGAGATTAAACGTTTTATGGATTGCAACATTAATTCTTCATCCATAACAATTTCAAATGTGTAATTATACGGCCATCAGTGACAGAAACAGTGTTTTGGGGGATGTCAATGAAATAACGAAATTGCCAGTACGTACGATATGCCACTGGTTGTGTGTTTTGTCACTGACACATGGCGTTGTCAGGCCATTCATGACATTTTGCACAAGGAGCTTCAAGGAATAAACTAGAGTTATTTGCATATATTGAGGGGATTAGGGGCGGTGTGTGTGTGTGTGTGTTTGTGTGTGTGTGTGTTTCTGTTGGTAGACTACGTTGTTTATGGGGACATACCTTACTAAAGCCACTCTCAAGTTTAAAATTGCCCAAACACAATTGCGAATCGGCATTTCCCGATTGAAGTGCTATAATTCAACAGCTACTACGAGGCTGCCCAAACGCAATACTCATCATATCGCATCTTATGCTGGAATTCGCGGCTACCGGACTACCATTCGACGTAGGAAGAAAAATCGGTAAAGTAAACTGAAGCAACTAACAGGCAAGGGTGAATCTGAGATTCATTGCGCCGTGGCGAAAAGGGTAAGCTTGTTCTTCCTTTCTGGCAGCACTCGCCACTTACACAAGCTTCAAACGAGTATTTGTTGCCTAACGCAGGGAAGTATATTGCCATACGCGAACATCTATACACGAACCATTGTTTTCATTATTTGAAAGTACTCCTAAATGAAATGCTTGTGGTATAGTCCCAAATCGGCCAAGCGTGAAGATCCCGGCTAGAATTGATCTTCGGTAACCTATGCTTATCATAAGAGGCGACTAACCGGATTGGGTGGTCAGGCTCGCTGACTTGGTTGACACATGTCATCGGTTCCCAATTGCGTAGATCGATGCCCATGATTTTGATCACTGTATTGTCTGGTCCAGACTCGATTATTTACAGACGGCCGCCATATAGCTGGAACATTGCTGAGTGCAGCGTAAAACTAAAGTCACTCAAACACTCACTCCAAATCGTCCAAGAGGCTCTATCTTATGATTAAAGGTCACATGCAACGTAAAACACAACTTTGCAGATTCTGATACCTTTCGGTATGGACTTACCGAAACAAATGATGAAAAATGCAAATGCAACTTATAAAGTTGAAAAATAACGCGATGAAAAAACCGCGCGAAATCGGGGTTTAAACGATTCACTAATTTTCCCCCGACTTTCCGGGGGAAAACTGGTTTCAACAGCTGGGCTGCGCTGCGCTCCTGAGGCATGCGCACTGAATAGGTTCGCGGAGCTTGAAACAGGATGTATGCCCGGATTATGAGGTCATGAGCACAAATAAAAAGTTAATAATCTATTCGTTACATAAAAGAACCTTGTAAGGATCCCGGATCTAGATCTACTCAGCTAACCGGAAAATCACAGGGCGGAAGAGTGTGCATATTTGTGAATAAGAACTGGTGTAATAATTGGACCTTGAGGAAGTCTGTAATGACACCAGATTTGGAATTACTATCTGTGTCATTCCGACCGTATTATCATCCTAGAGAGTTCGGCCAAGTATTTATTGTGTTGATATATATCCCCCCATCCGGCTGCTACGACAACGCAGCTAGGCAAGTATATGATCACATCCAGGAAATTGAGAACCTATCTACAGGTGCTCCGAAATTCTTCTTGGGTGACTTTAATGGATGCAATATTAAATCTGTGCTACCCCACTACCACCAATATGTGTCATGTGTTACACGGAATAACAAAATCTTGGACAAGTGTTTTGGAAATATTAAGCAAGCCTACAAATCAGTATCCAGACCACCGTTGGGATCGTCTGACCATAACACTGTTCTATTACTACCCGCCTATAGACAAAAGCTAAAAACAGGGAAGAATGAAAATAAAATCATTAAAAAGTGGGATAAAGATTCACTGGAGACGCTTCGAGCGAGCTTTGATTGCACAAGCTGGGACAGTTTACTCGAGCCCGACGCCACGATTGATAGCAACGTAGATGTGATTACCAGTTACATAACTTTCTGTGTGGACAATATAGTACCTGTGAAAGAAATTAAGATCTACCCGAACAACAAGCCGTGGGTCACGAAAGATCTCAAACATCTGCTCAACATGAAAAAGATAGCTTTTAAGGACAACGATGCAGTAAAATTACGCGACCTACAGAAGGATTTAAGGATTCAAATAAGACTCTTTCAAATCTAAACTGGAGAATAAGCTACTCCGAGGGGACATGCGCAGTGCTTGGCAACACATACACACTAAAACCGGATGCGGAAAACGTAAAAAAAATATTGAAGTTCCAGATGAAGCCCAATATGCTGAACAGCTAAATACATTTTACTCCCGCTTTGACAACGTTGACTTTTCCAAATGTTTTAATGACGTCATGGATACCATTCCAATTACAGAAGAACACACACCAATATCAGAAGAGGAAGTACGTATCGTCTTCAAGAGGATAAATGCACGGAAATCGCCCGGACCGGATAACATGAATGGTAAGATTCTCAAGGAAAGTTGTTCGGAACTCTCCTATGTATTTTCCCGACTTTTCGAAAGATCGTTTGGTGATCATGAAATCCCCGCCATATTGAAACTGTCAAAGATCACCCCGGTTCCCAAACTCCCCAAACCACTCGAGCCTAACAACTACCGTCTAGTCGCTCTTACATACATCATTATGAAATGCTTTGAAAGAATTGTGCTGTCTCGCTTACTACAAGATGTCAGAGACATTCTAGATCCACTGCAATTTGCATATCAAGCGAGGAGAGGAGTAGAGGACGCTACGACAACACTGTTGAACGCAATATATACGCACACCGATACGCCAAAGTCGTATGTACAGGTTATGTTTGTGGACTTTAGTTCCGCATTCAACACGATTCAACCTCACCTCCTGATTCAGAAACTGTGTGAAATGGATGTGCATCGCAACACGATTCTGTGGATAAAAGACTTTTTTGGTAAACAGAGCTCAGTGTGTGAGGGTAAACGGAACAATATCTTCCTATCAAACCATCAGCACCGGTGCGCCACAAGGTTGTGTGTTATCTCCAGTTTTATTCACATTATATACCAATGACTGCAATAGCACAGTAAAAGGGACACTGTTAAATTTGCTGATGATGCTGCCATCGCTGGACTCATCACTAACTGTGATGAAACATGTTACCGTCGTGCAATATCAAATTTCTCTGACTGGTGTGACGATAACTT